GCACACCTCTTTGAATGCCTGGACTCTTACAGAAGCCATTATTTCGGGGTCTCTTTAAAAATCCAGGGCCCATCTCTCTCCCTCCCTCCTTCTTTTCCTCCCTCCCTCCCTCCTCCCCACGCCACCCCCAGTGCAATCCTGGCACCCAGAGAGCTCTCCTTTCAGCCACAGAGCCCAGAACCAGCCGTTGTCCCCTGGCAAAGAGGCCCAGTGCTGAGCTCCTGGACAAGTGACTCCAGACACCCTGGGTGTTACTCCTGCCCCCTTGTTAGCTTCCCTTCCCAACAGACATCATGTGCCCTTGCCACCCAAGCTAGGTTGCATCCAAAAGTTGCTCACAAGCTTAGAAAAGGAAAAACAAAAACAAAAACAAAACAAAAAACGAAAAACTGACAACCATTACACAGAAGAGCCCACAAAAGCTGCAGCATCATCCACCAAGGGCGAAGAAGCAGCGGCAGACCCAGGTAAGACCCCAGAGAAGGGAAGGTGGCCGGGGCCTCCCAGGCCCATTACTTAGGGGTTTCAGATGTCTCGCAGGTGTCCCGCCTGTGCGTAGGGTGCTTATGGCTGGGGGACACTTTGTTGGCCATGGAGGATGCTTGGTAGTTTTTGGTTTGGATTTGTTTCCAAGAGAAAGGAAAATGAGAAAGCAGTAATGGTGAGGTGAGGAAAACCAAAAAGGAGCAAGAGATATCCTGGAAGAGAGGGTTTGTGGGGGTGCTCTGTTTATAGGGCTTTCTCAGCCCTTGGGGTCTTGATCTTTCAGGATAGCCCCCACAGCACAGCTTCTTCTCCAGCCAGTGCCAAGGTCACTGCAGGCCTTATCTAGGAAGAACTCTAGGAGACTCTTGTAAAGAGAGACTGGTGGATTTGGGTGCGTGGGACAGCCGGCTTCTCAGCACTACACCTGTCTACCAGGTTAGTTTGAGAAGTAGTCTTTGAAGTCCCAGGTAGAAGAGTGAGCAGGAGGAACTGGGAAAGTACACAGAGTTTATTCACTCTCCACCTACCCACCCCTTTTTTTTTTCCAGCACATCTGTGCCATGGTATTAAGAGGGGTTTTTCAGTATCTGAAAATCTTCAAATACTAACAAAATGAGCTAAATAGACTTCGCAACTTACTTCTCCCAAACTCCCCTTCCTCTCCCTCCCATACTGAAAGGGTTAAAGCACTGGCATGACAAGCCACTTGCATTTCCCCCCCCAAAACCTGCCCTAGTGAGGGTCTCTGCTTAGCAACAGGAAAATCCGATAATTCACTGTTCCTAAAGATCTCCTCCTATATCAGCCATGCCCCTTGCAGGGGGAAAAGTTTAGAACCCTCCAGAGCTGTACTGATATCTAAAAGCAGTAACAGTGCCTCAGGTGACCAGACTTTTCAAACTCCAACCTTATCTTTGAAAATCAGTATTTTGTGACCCAATTTGAGCCTTTTGCTTACCTCCAGAGAGGAGGCTGACATCTCAGGTATCTCCTAATATTGTTTTTCTTTTTACCTTTTAGAAGAGGAACTGCAGCTACAGGTTGCAAATTCTCTGCAGTTTTTCTTAAAAGGTTTCTTGGCATTTAACAAAGCTGTCATTTTCAAAACCCCCAAGACTTTTTTTTTTTTTAGCTTTTGCATGTGATTTGCAAGGAGGCTCAGCAATTCCACACACCCTAGCTGCATCGCCAATATCAATATTTAAAAACTAAATACAAAAGAGACAGATGACCTCCTGACCCCAGGAAACAGGCCTGCAAAACTGCTAATATCCACTCCACCATGCCCAGAGACCTATCTTTATTCCAAATGAACCACAAAAATCATACATGTGTAGCCTGGAAAACACAAATTTATATCCACAAGGAGGAATACCAAAAATCCACTAAAAAATGCATATATAAACAACCAACAAGTACCGAAATTGCCTGCACTTGATGGGAATTGCAAAATCATGCCCAACTCTCTGGGCCCTTAAACTACTACTGTCAAATTAGGGTAGCAATTTTTCCCCACTGGGGAATTCACAAGCAGTGAAGTTTCCCCACCCCTCCCGCCAGCCCTTTTCCTTTCACTGAAATGAATAAATAATCTTACACTTTTTTCCCCTCCTCTGGGAGCTGTTTGGTGTCCCCTGAGGACAAAACTAAACGAGAAAAATGACGCTATTAATAATGCCACTGCTGAAATGCTTGTACTCAACTGTTTTTTTTTTTTTTTTTTTTTAAAAAGCCCCACTACGTGTGTCTACATTTAAGGCACATTTACAAGTTACAGCTCCAAACCCAAGCACAGACTGGGCTATATTCCTCCATCCAGGATAGCCAGTTTCTGCCCCTGCAGAAATGAGTGAGGCCAGTTCATTACAGAAATTCCCAACTGCAGAAGACAGTTGCTCTCCGGATTATAAAGCCAACAGAAGTTTTGCACCATCATTTATTTGAAACTTTAACAATCCTAATAGTTGCCTCCCTTCATTCATAATACTCCGAAGGAAACAGGCACCCTCACATGCAGCCTCTTCTCTGCTGATGAGAGCAGGTACAATATTGCCCTTTTTCTAAATAGCTAACCTTTAAAATTACACTGTCATTTTATTTCTACACTCAGACTGATTTTTGTTGCCCAGCCACACATGTCTGTGTGACATATCAAATCAGACAGGTACAAAGCTCTGTCCAAAATGGCCCAGGAGTCTTTGCACCCTGTACTCAGTGTAAGAAGTGCACTGTAAAACAACTCAAACTTTCTGCACCTTGCCCTAATTCTTCCTTTAAAAACCGCTACTCTGTTTGAAAATCAGAAAACAATGCATAACAACAGAACTGTGCATTTTAACTTTCAAATTAGAATTTAGGAAGCAATTATATAATTACAAGGAGAAAACACAAATCACTGGGCCTGTACAGAATATGTGTTCAGTAAACTTTATCTCTGAATGTATCTGAAACATTTTAACAGCGCGACAAGCTAATAAATTTCAAAGCAATAATATCGTCAAACTGTGTGATGTCACAAACTCTGAAAACAAAGTTACAGATGTCTGTGATATCACAATCACTCAAAATTATGCTGCTGCTCAGTCTGACCCTATTAAAATTAAATGGATGCCTATGTCTGCTAAAGAATAAAAGCAATTTATTTTGGACATCAAACAATGAATCTGTCACCATTTATTGTACGAAACAGTCAGCTAATCAATTTCCTATTAAAATAGCTTTCAACAATACTCGGCTTTAAAATTCATCAGGGCCAGTAAAAACCTTTTCCCAGTGCCCAAGAATGCAGTCCCAACCACGGAGGGTAATTACCGTTCTGATACTTTTATTGCCCAAGCACTTTTTCCTGTGCTCCCCATCACTTAGGCAGGAATCTGCAGTATATTGTATCAGTGAGTTGGAGCGCTTGACCTTTGCCCACGTATGATTTAATAGGGACTTTTCAGCGCTGCAGCTTTCCCCATCTCTCATACCATTAAATGAAAACATCAAACCTCAAATGTAAAAGTGGAAACCACAACGTTTTGTGTTTCACAACTCTTTGCAGTTTTTACTTAGGCTGGTTAAAGGTCAGCTCCTTAGCTCCCCCGTGCTCTTCCCGGTGTGGAGAAAGAACGCACTTGAAAGTCACAGTCATTCTGATTTTGATTAAATCTTGAACTCCTCAGTCACATACACACACACGCAGCCTGCTTATTTACACGTGCATTCTTTCCTAACCACAGAAGCATGTGTGTGTGACTTTCTGGACTTCTTCCATGTTAGGGCCGATTTAAATGTCTGTTCAAGTATGGGTTCAAAAGTTAACTTTTTCCTGCCTGTTGAAGTTAAAGTTACCAAGGATGGTGCTCTAAGAGCCGCTCAAAGAGAGTCAGAGTTAATCTTGTGTATTTTGGCGCCTTTTCCCTGCCAGCTACTGTACTTGGGGGCGGGGGGGAGGGGAGTGAACAGACTTGGAGATCTCCTCTGTCCTGTCTCAAGTTCAACGGCAGTTCTTCCAACCAGAGGAGAAGATGGCCATGTTCACAGCCCTAATAATAATTCCAATCACGCCACTTCGGCATCTTGTGTCAAAGTCGAAACTGGCTTCCCCGCCCCCTTCAACCTGAAAGCTGCCCAGTCCTCTCACACTCTGCATTCAAGCACAACTTAATGGATGGGATATTATGCATTAAAATGTGTCCCAGACACACTGGCAAAGAGAGGACAAGGGAAAGGCAGATGGACGCACAGACACACAGACACACAGAAACACACACAAATCGGGCAGGGGGTGGTGGAGGAGGGATATCCTAGAGCAAAAACCAGCAGGGTGGGAATAAAAAGTATTCACATGAGTGGGAAGAAATCTATCATAATCTTTTTTTCTAAGGGACTGGGGCAGCAGGAGGACTGATCACTCGATGCTGTAACTTCGGGGTACATGGCAGGGGACTAAACTTCAAAACGATTACCAATTTTAAAAACTCCAACACACCCATCAGACCTAAATAGTATTTACATTATTTTTCTTTGTTTTTTTTAAAGACATTTTTACATGAGAATATGCAACAGAGCTATACCTTAAAATGAAGAAAACAATGCTTCAAGAAGAGAGAAAGGGCCACAAGCTACAACTAAAGTATACTTTGTACGATAACTTTCTCCAGCATTTGAGGGGAAGCAGGGAGAAAGGAACTGAAGTAGGAAAAATGCCAAATTCCACACTGTTTGGTCTCACGATGTTATCCACCGATTCCCGCCATAAAAGTGTGCATATGTACTCGAGTTGCCAACGCTAAAAATATACATATAATAATATATATTTGCATTAGCTCTGGAACTCCAGCACTACACACAGACCTGTAAAGCACAAATGACATTTAGGAAAGTGATGATTTACAAAAAAAAAAAAAAAAAAAAAAAAAAAAAGTTTTGCAACGCACAAATGGAGAAAAAAAAAATCTGTGCTGGGGTGGGAATGCAAAGGACGAATAAGACAAGCAAATAAAACCCATCGTTGCAAAATCACATACCATTGCACTGTATTGCATTAAATTAAAGAGATCTTGAGTCTGGGACAGAACCCTGGGCCGCTGACTTCACGGGTCTCAGGTAGAGTTGTGGCTTTTCTCTGGGGTTGTTTTGGTGTCGCTTTTTGTGCTTAGTTTTTTTGTTTTTTTGTTTTGTTTTTTAAAAAAGCGATCCGGGAGTAGTCTCACACTTTTATCATTTCTGCACTGCCTCAATTCTCGGCCCGCGAAGAAAAGGCGGTCAAAGTCAAGTGCAAAAGCATCCAGCCCCTGGGTGCGGAGATCCGGTTTTCCTTGCCCTCACTTGCAGAAGACTGTCGTGGCTGACTTGAACGCCGTCCAGAGTGCGTGCGTGCGTGCGTGCGTGCGTGTGTTTGGGGGCTTTTATTGTTGTTTTAGCGGGGCTGCTCCGGCGGTGGGGGTTGCGCGGGGCAGAGTTAGCCGGCGCGGCCGCAGGGTCCCGCGCTCGCCCCTTCCCCGCCTTCGGATTGGCCTGGCCGGCTGCGGGGCTGCCCCGGAACCGCCACCCAGCCGCTCACCCTTCCGCGCCTGGCTCGCCTTTCTCCCGCTCGCCGCGCGCCCTGCCCCGCCCCGCCCCGGCCGGCCCAGGCGCGCTGGAAGCGCGGCTCTTCGCTTCCGCCTGGCGGCGGGAAGCAAACCGAAAGGAGGAGCCGAGGGCGGGCGCGCCGCGATGCATATTCATCAGGGCGCCCGCGCGCCCGGGGAGGCGGGAGCCGGCCCGGGTGGGTGTGGCGGCGGCCCTCGCGAGCGCGGGGCGGGTGGGAGTGGGTCGGCTGGCGCGGCTGCGGGCCGGCTCCGGTGTTTGTGCAGCGGCTGGGGGGCCAGGGGTTGGCGAGGGCGAGCCTGTGCTGGGGTGCCCTGGCTCGCGCGCCTTTGTGCTCCCCAACTGTGCGTGGGCCGCGTATCGCTGCCGAGGGGCCCCCTCCGCAGGTGTGCGGGAGAGGGAACGCGGCGGGACGGCCGTGCGAAGACCTTAAAATAAGCCCAACGCTGCAGCTTAGGGACTTGCGGTGACTTCCAGACTTCCCGCCACGGTGCGGGCCTCAACAGCAGCAGGCCACGTTTGTTTGCGTGTGAAGGGAGTCCTGAAACGTGGCACGCCTCAGAGCGTTATCAAAACGACCAGAGAGAGGAGAGCGCGTCCGCACTTTGACTTCTGTTTATATGCACCCATGGGAATGTCAAAAAATGCGATGGTAGCTTAGGGATAGGTGACACAGCCACCACCAAGGAAATCCTCCACCCCGGGATCCACACATGCAAACACTCTAGAACTAGAGTTCTGCTTGACGTTTGGAGCAGCATTGCTGAAACTTGGATATATGTAGAAGGGGTTTTTTGGGGGGAGGGGGGTGCGCTTAGTTTTTAATCTGATTGTTTTCATTATAAGTATCTGTAGTTGGGTGCTAAAGTAATGCTTACTGCTTCAAATAAGTTGACATAATTTTGATTTTAAAGTATTAAAAGTAAAAATACAACAGCAGCTTAGTACTTGCTTAGTACTAACCCACGTGTGTTTAGAGAAGATTTTATTACAGAGATCCTGACTAATTATGTAATTGCATAACAGATAACAGTAGCTTCCAATATCCTCTTAAAAACCCTGTTCAATTATGTGATTACCACTGAGACCAGAATGGCTCCAGATGCATTGTTCTTATCTTTCTAGTAAATGTGAGCATGGCAGTATTTTAATCCCAATTATGTTTACCCTCAAAGACCTAGAGAACTTAAACAACATTGGTCAGGTGCATAGTTCCTACCACGCACTCTATAAAACAAGACTTTCGGCCTCATTACCTCCCACCTCACCCCCGCCCCTGCATGCAAACATATATGCACAGTATATAGATGCTCATATGTGAATAACAGGTCTGCGCATCTTCAGAGTACTCACAAGTGGATTGACCAAATTAGACTTCAGAAATGCCCAGCTTAAAAATGGGTTGTTGCCCTGCAAATCTAACACTTCCCAATTTCTGGCCTGAGAAAAGTAACACAGCATTAGAATCTATCTAAAATAAGGATAGTCATGTAACTTTGGGAAGGGAGATTAATGATAGGAGGAGGTGGGGTGGACACAAAATGTCTCTCCACACTCAGCCATAACTTCCCACGGAAAATTAATTTTCAACATCTATCTTGCTCTGAGTTAGGTAGTTTTAACTACTCAGGCTAGTATAGCTATAATTCAGTCAATTCAAGTGGGTAACAAACAGATCTGTTTCCATTCTAGGATTTCCATTCATGGTCAAGTAAATCACATTTAGTACTAAGGAACCAAATATAAAATATGAAAATCTAATACAGCTGAATAAAAAATGATTTAGGGTGGAGCAGGGAGCATTTTACATGTGCAGTGTTGTCAAATATTAAAACTTGTCCAGTGTGCCACAGAAAGCCCTTTTCTTGTCATTGCTGAAGCCTATAGCAGAGTTGCCATCCGTCTCAATATCTATTTCACACAAAGGAGAACTGACATGCTAGAATCTGATTCTCTTGGGAAAATGTCTTAAGACATAAAATGGGAAAAGGAATAGAGGAGTGAGAAAAGTATTTCCTCCACTCTTGTGATGACTTGGAGGAATCTAGACTTTGTGACACCTGTCGGTAGATTGCTTCTTAAGCATATTATTTAGTAATAAAATGTACCATTGCATGTCATGTTCAGGCTTTTGTAGATTATCTTTTTCTATTTGCATGTCATTTGTTTCTTTTGACATGTGAGGCTTACAAGAATACTTATTCCTATACCGATCACTCGTCTGGCTGTCAAATATGTACACATATCATCATTTGATGATACTCAAGGTTTATAAAATGAGATGGATTTTCAAGCATGTCTTACAGAAATCTGTCCTGCTAATTTGTAGTCATCTCAATGTATTTATTGCTCCTAAATTTTTTTAAATTGGCAATTGATCGTGGTCTTGTCATCTACAGCATCAGCCGATTTTTCTGGTTTTCATATTTTGCGATGGAAATAAATACATAAAAATTAGGAGATGTTTTAAATTACATGCTTCTTTTTAAATTAAAATTATCTTGGTTCAAGACTTTCCCAAGAATATAATTAAGATATAATATATTCTTATATTTATCTTTGGTTAGAAATTATAAGTAACTACTCATTTTTAAAAATGAGTACTGTCCAAAACTATATAAGCATTTTGGATTTTTGACTCATCCAACTGAAATGATTCCAGTTGTTTTTTTTTTTAAAGATTGTTATGGATTTTTTTTTGTTTTTTGTTTTTTGTTTTTCATAAGTTGCAGGCACAGTTCCTTCCATAGAACTTACGGGAAGCTCCATAAGTATACTCACACTTTAGATTTTTCTAGTTCTTCCTAAAGCCAATTAACTGGTCTGGAGTTTCTGTATGTTTTCTTCAAATTAAGAATTTTTTCTTAATGTACTAGCAACATCTGTGTGTGTTTATCTCTGAGAATAATCACTATATAATTATTTCTAAAAGGCATGCATTATTACAATGCTTTATGTCATAATTGAAGTAATTCTTCTACCCCGTCTAAACCAGTAATTTTCAGTCATTACCCCAAAGGTGTTTATTTTGTCTTACTTCTCCATTTTCACAAAAATATAAGAAATGTTTTATTTATACTTATTATTTTTATATTATTAAAGGTTACATGCTGATTTATTAGATAATTATATTTAGTCCATTATTATACCAGGATTTGTGTAAATTTAATATATATAATAGAGGTAGGGGTATATTTAAGACTCAATACTAAAGAAAACATACACTATCTTTTAAAATAATTGGATAATCATTTAGAATTTATATGGAATTTTTAAAATACCTAATGTACAAACTGGTCCTAACATTCATGTTTCTTATTGCCTATAGATAATAGTTTCAATTATTTCTGAATTATTAAAAAATGTTGAGAGGCTTAAATTAGGACACTTACAAAGTGCCAAATTGAGGGTATTTTGCTGGCATTCAATAGATGACACTTATCTCTGCTAAGACTTTTACTAAGGAGCAGAGAATGCATATCTAGGGAATTGTTCTGAAAAACCCAAGCACCCCTACCCCACCCTGGTCACTATTTTTCCTTTTCATTGGCTGTAGTCGTCTTCAGCTGTAATCTGTGGGGCCTCTTCTTTAGACATTGACTGTAGAAACAGTGTCTTTCCCACAAGACATCGTGGCTCATCACGCAGAATTATATCTGTGGAAAAGACTTTCAAGAGATTTCCAGATAGGCTTTTGCCACAGAGTTGAAACCCTACACTGCGCAAGACAGACACACCAGGCCATTTTCTAACCATTGAGAGTATGGGTACAAAAATAAATATACACATGCAGTGTTCCTTCTTTCACTAGCTGCACGGTGCACCTGTGCACACAGATCTGATGACATCTGCTAACACAATAAATCTCAAGTGGTTTGTGGTGTCATCAAAAACCTGAGATGGTGGTATGGCTCACAGCCTTACCAACCCCAGGCTAGGGCCTTGTTAAATTTCGCAGGCTAAATAGAGACAGACTCAAACTCCTTCCATGCACCAACCAGAGGTTTCAAGAGCAGGTTAAGGTGGTTTACCAAAAAAATATAATAAAAATAGGGCCTGTAGCTATGACTCAATATGTGAAAAAATCTGCTCTCTGATTCAACAGTGGTAAATCAAGGATGTCTCCTAGCTTTAAAAAAATAATTTTTATCACAATTGTTAGGAATTCTCAAGTTGAAGTATCAATCATTTCTTAGCCTCCTTATGTTTTAAAGACTTCAAAAAAAAAAGTATGTGCAATTAAATCTTCATATCTTGCTTACTCACACTTTTATATAACTTTAGAATCTCTACCATCAAAACGCCCAAAAAAAGAAACAATAAATTTGAATCCATTTCAGCTGTAATGATGATTAATTTGAGCAAAGTAAAAGCAGTGTTTTCTCAAAAATTTTTCAGGCTATCTTGTGCCATATGTAAGGTTTCTGAAACAACAGAATCACTAAGGTATTTTTTTTTAGCCATTTTCAAAAAACAGAAGCATCTGGCAATACAGAAATTAGTGAGGCAACAGGATGCAAGAAAGCGCTAGACAGTCTACTGATCCTTCAGAACGGTCCTGGCAAAGGATCACCCTGTCTTTTGCTCAGCAGGCCACTTCCAACCAGAAAGTCAGTGTCAAGCCCCCTGCATGCAAACCCTGTGGCCTCTGTCTCCACTGTCCCAGATTCCTGTCGGCAGATCCACAAAGGTCAACATTATTTCTAATCGCCCATTACTTAAAGATCAATAACCACATTTTGTGCCTGTGTGCCATAACTCAGAAATCCTAGGTGCAGCATAGAGGGTAGAGGAAGAATTTGTTCCTTCTACAAATATGCGTTGCATGCTTTACCTTGGCCCTGGACCCCAGGCTAGGTGCTGCCTTGCAAGGATGAACAACAGTCTTTGAGGATCTCTGCATTTATGGTACAAAGGCCTTTGTGCTAATATTCTCCTCCGAATT